CCTGCAGAAAACCAGTGGTAGAAATTGATATGGGTGTTTCATTAGCAGTGACAAAGAGAATACTTAAACAAATATCTAATGAAAATCTCACCGACCTAACAAATTCTCAAAGACCTGAAAGTTGTAGCATTAAATATTATGATAGATATCGTGAGGAGACATTCACGTATGGGACTAATAGAACAAGAACCCGGCAATGTGATGTTATAGTGGCCAGAATACGCCTGGGATATAGACGTATCTGGCAGCTTTCTCAAAACCCAAATGTCGAGTACACAATGTGTCAACTTTGTGAAAGAGAAAACATGCACTCTCTTGAACATTATATTGTAGAATGTCCCATACTGACTGACTTTCGCCCTCCTGGGCTAAGGTGTGCTGAACTCTGTAGTTACTATATGAATACTGGAACACTTGATGATATATTGGACTTGTATCCAAAATTGACCATGTAATATATAAATCATACAATGTATATATATGATGTAACTATATAACCTGAGCTTGTAAAAGCACCTTCAGTGATTAAGTGCTTAATTGCACACTAGTTTCTTTATCAGCTACCTCACCCTGTCAGGGTAAATGAGACAAATGTATGTGGATGCATATGTGTGTGTGTATATATGTATGTGTATGTGTGTGTGTGTATGTATATGTATGGGTATAAAGCATATATGGAAGCTGATCAGAATTACATTTCACCTTTGTGAATGTACATTAATGACACTATGTAAAAGACACATCTAACACTTTATGTAGGGCATACGTAAATCTGTGTATCTATGTACTAACATATATAGGTTAGCTTAGCATTTTAAAAGCACCGAATCACCTTCTGTGGTTGAGTGTTCAATAAACCCTTGAACTATATGTTTAACACTTCTCTAACCCTGTCCATGGAGGACAGAAGAAAATGTATATATCCTGGTTAGCATTGTAAATGTCTGGCCACGTCTGTGGTAGAAAAAAAAAAAAAAAAAAAAAAAGTCTCCTTGTGGGCATTTGAAGGCATAGACGACGTTGGTCTCTTTTAAAGCGTTCTGCTTTGTGTCTGGAGAGTTTCTCATGATTAGGTTGGCCGTTTTTTTGGTTTTATAGTAAATCGTCAATTGTATCTTCTGATTTTTGTCTGTAGAGATAACGTTCCTATTAACAATATCTTTCAGGACCCTTTCCTCCGTTTTATGAGCTGTGGAAAAGAAGTTCCTGTAAAATAGTCTAATAGGGGGTACAGGTGTTGTGTTAGTTGTCTCTTCAGAGGTTGCATGGCGTTTCACCTTCCTTCTTATGATGTTTTCAACGAAACCATTGCTGACTAGGACCTTCCTTACCCTACAGAGTTCTTCATCGACTTGCTTCCATCCTGAGCTGTGGCTGAGAGCACGGTCGACATAAGTGTTAACAACACTCCTCTTGTACCTGTCTGGGCAGTCACTGTTGGCATTGAGGCACCTTCCTATGTTTGTTTCCTTAGTGTAGATTGCAGTGTGGAAACCTCCGCTCTTTTCCATGACTGTTACATCTAGAAAGGGCAGCTTCCCATCCTTCTCCATCTCGTAAGTGAAACGCAACACAGAATTCTGCTCAAATGCCTCCATCAGCTGCAGCAGACGTCTGGCATCAGGTACCTGCATAAAAGATATCATATCGGTTTTGTTGAAGATATCATAAAAAGAAAGGTGAAACGCTATGCAACTTCTGAAGAGTCCACCAAAACAACACTCTTCATCTAGTATATCAGGGCTCTTGGGCCACCAGCTGTGGGAGTGGGGCGTCTCATCTTGGGCCACCAGCTGTGGGAGTGGGGCGGCTTATCTTGGGCCACCAGCTGTGGGAGTGAGTGGGGCATCTCATCTTGGGCCACCAGCTGTGGGAGTGGGGCGTCTCATTTTGGGCCACTAGCTGCTGGAGCAGGGCGTCTCATCTTGGGCCACCAGCTGTGGGAGTGGGGCGGTTCATCTTGGGCCACCAGCTGTGTGAGGGGGGCGTCTCATCTTGAGCTACAAGCTGTGGGAGCGGGTCGTGTCATTTTGGGCCACGAGCTGTGGGAGTGAGGCGTCTCATCTTGGGCCACCAGCTGTGGGAGCGGGGCGTCTCATCTTGAGCCATCAGCTGTGGGAGTGGGGCGTCTTATCTTAGGCCACCAGATGTGGTAGCGGGGCGTCTAATCTTGGGACACCAGCTGTGGGAGCGGGGCGTCTCATCTTGGGCCATCAGCTGTGGGAGTAGGGCGTCTCATCTTGGGCCACCAGCTGTGGGAGCGGGGCGTCTAATCTTGGGCCACCAGCTGTGGGAGAGGGGCGTCTCATCTTGGGCCATCAGCTGTGGGAGTGGGGCGTCTCATCTTGGGTTACCAGTTGTGGGAGCGGGGCGTGTAATTTTGGGCCTCCAGCTGTGGGACCTAGGCGTCTTATCTTGGGCCGCCAGCAGTGGGAGCGGGGCGTCTTATCTTGAGCCATCAGCTGTGGGAGTGTGGCCTCTCATCTTGGGCCATCAGTTGTGGGAGAGGCGCGTCTCATCTTTGTCCACCAGCTGTGGGAGTCGGGTGTCTCATCTTGGGCCACCAGCTGTGGGAGTGGGGCGTCTCATCTTGGGCCACCAGCTGTGGGAGTGGGGCGTCTCATCTTGGGCCACCAGCTGTGGGAGCAGGGCGTCTCATCTTGGACCACTAGCTGTGGGAGTGGGGGCGTCTCATCTTGGGTCACCAGCTGTGGAAGTGGGGCGTCTCATCTTGGGCCACCAGCTGTGGGAGTGGGGCGTCTAATCTTAGGCCAACCAGCTGTGGGACTAGGGCGGCTCATTTGGGGCCACCAGCTGTGGGAGTGGGGCGTCTCATCTTGGGCCACCAGCTGTGGGAGCAGTTGTGTGAGGGGCGTCTCATCTTGGGCCACCAGCTGTGGGAGCGGGGCGTCTCATCTTGGGCCACCGGCTGTGGGGTGGGAGGTGGGAGCAGGGCGTCTCATCTTGGGTCTCAGCTGTGGGAGCGGGACGTCTCACACCAGCTGTGGGAGTGGGGCATTTCATCATGGGCCACCATGGGAGTGGGGCATCTCATCTTGGGCCATCAGCTGTGGGAGTGGGCTTCTCATCTTGGGCCACCAGCTGTGGGCATCTCATCTTCGGCCACCAGCTGTGGGAGGTCTCATCTTCGTCTCATCTTGGGCCACCAGCTGTGGGAGTGGGGCGTCTCATCTTGGGCCATCAGCTGTGGGAGTGGGGCGTCTGGGCCACCATCTTGGGAGTGGGGGCTCACCAGCTGTGGGAGTGGGGCGTCTCATCTTGGGCCACCAGCTGTGGGAGTGGGGCGTCTCATCTTGGGCCACCAGCTGTGTTCATCTTGGCCACCAGCTGGGGCGTCTCATCTTGGGCCACCAGCTGTGGGAGTGTCTCATCTTGGGCCACCAGCTGTGGGAGTAGTCTCATCTTGGGGCGTCTCATCTTGGGACACCAGCTGTGGGAGTGGGGCGTCTCATCTTGGAGTAATCTTTCTAACAATGGGTCCTCTAACATTAGGATGGTGTTCCACACCCGGATGTCTTGGTGCTGTAGTCTGATGTTTACTGGCTGTATGTTCAGGAGTTCATGGAGTTCCTAGACTGTCTGATCATATGATGGACGGTGTTTTGCTGCTCTCCTTAGTGCCTTATACCGCACTGCTCTTAGCTGTTGCATGTTAGTTTTCTTTAAGGTGTTTAGTGGTACTGAGGAATATTCTAGATTCTTTAATTGGATAGGGTTATGTTGTCCGGAGGGGAGGGGGTGCCTGAGGGAGGGACGGGGAGGGGTACCTGAGGAAGGGACAGGGCGGGGTGCCTGTGGGAGAGACGAAAGGGGGGGGGGGATGATGGGGAAGCCAGGGGAAGTTGGAGGGGAGGGGAAACTCGTTTCCTCCGGACAAGGTGAGGGAGAAGAGGCAGCTCCCACAGTCACTTGCTCACCGGCTGCCAGCCAGCCTGGACGTCTCGTTGCCTGTTGCCATGGCGTCCTACCACTGTCCCCGCCTCCTCTGTGTCCTCGCTCTCACCGCAGCTCTCACTCACGGGTGAGTAAATTCTCCTTCAAACACCCTTAACGTTACTAGTTTATATTATTCACCTTATTTGATTTTGAAGAAACATTAATTAAGACAAATAGGAGGAGCTCCTATATTGTCCTTGTACCTGTCCTGTCAGTGAAGTGGTATGACATGTTCCCGTTTAGTAGTAACTGGAGTAGGTGGGGCTCCGGTATTGTTCCCCCATGTACCTGTCCTGTCAGTGACAGTGGTAGGCGGAGCTCCTATATTGTTTCCCCATGATAGAGGAACATAGTTCAGGAACTGAACTCCAATATCCATTTAACTAAGAACTGTTGTCAGCAGGCCTAGTGTGGCCGTTCCTTTAGCGTAGTGGTTTTCGTCCTCGACTCAGTATCAGGGAATCTGTGGTTCGATCCCCAGACGGATCAGAAATGGTTGGGCACCTGTTCATGTAGTATTAAATAGGTATTTAGGAGTTAAGTAACTGTTGTGGGCAGTCTGTAACGAGTCGAACCTTCCTGTCCAGGGCGCTACCACTGAGCCACTTGTTCTTAGTCAGTATTAATCCACTTTGTTTCCTAGTTCAATTTTTCCTCAAGTATAAATTGTTACTTGATATATATATGTATACATTATATGTATATATATCGTCATACGATATATATCTGTAGTTTAGATGTTTAAGTTTTGTCGGTAACTATTTGTAGTTCCAGCGAGTCAACTATTTATAAAGGTGCAATGTGACCATAGACAAAATAATATAATGTTGGAGAAAACTTGTGAGTTACATCAGTTGCGGGACGCATGTAAAACATTGTCATTCATAAACAAGATGTTTCGCGGCTGAACTAACGAGCAATTGGCCATTGTTTGTGGGTGGACGGCTCCTGGGGGTCCGTGCCGGTAAACAATGGCCCACGTGTGTCTTCACCCAGCTGGTACACCAGTCTGGAGATGAACACCTTCCCGCACCACCACCCACCAACCTCCAACTCTTCTCCAGCACCGACTCATCACGAGACTCATCACGGGACTCATCACATGATTCATCACAAGACTCATCACGTGAATTATCACTGGACTCATCACGTGATTCATCACGGGATTTATCACAGGATTCATCACAAGGCTCATCACGTGATTTATCATGAGACTCATCATGGGATTCATCCCAAGACTCATCACGTGATTTATCACGGGACACATCACATGATTCATCACAAGACTCATCACGTGATTCATCACATGACTCATCACGTGATTCATCACGGGATTGATGACAAGGATCTTCACATGATTCATCACGTGACTCATCATGGGATTCATCACAAGACTCATCACGGGATTTATCACGTGAGTAATCACAGGACTCATCACATGATTCATCACATGATTCATCACAAGACTCATTACATGATTCATCACGGGATTCATCACAAGACTCATCACATGATTCATAACGAGAATCATCACGTGATTTATCACGGGACTCATCACGTGATTCATCACGAGATTCATCACGTGTGTTTCATCACTAGACTCATCACGTGATTCATCACAGGACTCAATGAGTGATTCATCATGAGAATCATCACATGATGCATCACAAGACTCATCATGTGATTCATCGCGAGACTCATCACATGCTTCATCATGGGCTTCATCACAAGAATCATCACGTGATTCATCATGAGACTCATTACGGGATTCATCACGTGAACCATCACAAGACTCATCACGTGATTTATCACGGGACTCATCACGTGATTCATCATGGAACTCATCACGTGATTCATCGCGAGACTCGTCACGTGATTCATTACAAGACTCATCACAGTACTCATCGAGTGATTCAACATGAGACTCATCACGGGATTTATCATGGGACTCATTACGTGATTCATCATGGGAGTCATCACGTGAATCATCACAGGACTCATCACGTGATTTGTTACAAGACCCATCACATGATTCAGCACGGTACTCATCACTTGATTCATCACGTGATTCATAACGGGACTCATCACCGTGATTCGTCATGGAACTCGTCACGGGACTCATCATGGGACTGATCACGTGATTCATTACGTTATCTGTTCGAATCCCACGTGTGTAAATGCTTCACTCACGAAATATACAATTAATTGGCCACTAATTTTAAACAATTAAACTAACTAAACCTAATATAGCTTTAACTATACACAATTATATTTATATAACAACAAATGGTATTGAACGCCTCTGTACCTCCTCTGTAATGAGGAAGTACCTCCTGGAGTTTGTAACATCTGTAGATTTGACTAAATGTAAACTCTGTCAGCAGAATTATTTGCTAACTTTGCGTCATTAAATAATGGAATGTGAAAAAAATCGCGGAATTCAGATATAACACCATCAATGGTGTCCAAGAAATGTTTAAGTACTTCATTCATAATGATGTGCTGCCAGAAATCCTAGCGAAGTCTCCAAAGATTGCTTACTGTAGGTGCAGCCTGCACATGACTGTAAAGCTGCCGCCCAGTTGGGTGGGTGTGGAGCACATGACTGTAAAGCTGCCGTCCAGTTGGGTGGGTGTGGAGCACATGACTGTAAAGCTGCCGCCCAGTTGGGTGGGTGTGGAGCACATGACTGTAAAGCTGCCGCCCAGTTGGGTGGGTGTGGAGCACATGACGGTAAAGCTGCCGCCCAGTTGGGTGGGTGTGGAGCAGATGACTGTGACTCACCATAGATGTAAAGTGCCTTGTATAGTGACTGTTGTGAACCTCTTGTTGAATCACTTGTGACACAAAAGATTATATTTGTGTGAATTTGTGTAGGTGATTGTATATGTACGTGTATACATATATATAATATATATATATATATATATATATATATATATATATATATATATATATATATATATATATATATATATATATATATATATATATGTTTCATTGAATATATATATATATTTTCATTTAGGGCTTGACCGCATATTTTCTTGTATTTATTGGATTTTCTGGTTTTGGGCTTGAAATCCCTCTTATTAGGTTTCTTAGCATCAGGGATGAGTAATTGAATAGGAGTTCTCCAAAACTCATTTTCGTACTTTTAAGGTGAAGAAAAGAAGTGATTTACTATAGAGTGTATTACACTTATTTGTATAATTTGCACGACGTTTCGAACCTCCATGGTTCATTCTCAAGTGAACAATCTTACAATACTAGTTGATTTTATACCCGCATTAGGTCAGGTGATAATACAATGAAGGTGAAAAACATGGGGGGATACATAAGGGATAAACATAGGGGCTGCAGAAGGCTTATTATATCTACTTATTATGTTAATATACAAACCGCCAGATGCAACAGGTGAGGAATTCACTGAACAGATCCAAAAATAGAGAATATCCTTGATAACCTAGCAAACCCAGTACCAGATATTATCTTCCTTGGAGACTTCAATCCACCCAGTTTAAAATGGAGAATAGTAAATAATAACATTATAGCAGGAAATCAACCTAGAAATAACCAACCACAGGTCAGAGAACTACTGAGATTCTGTGACAAATTCTCGCTCAGTCAGCAGATTACAGAACCAACTTGGAACGAAAACACGCTGGACCTGATATTCACAAACAATGATGAGCTAATCAGACATATTACTGTCTCAGACACTACGTACTCGGACCACAAGCTCATTGAAGTGCAAACTAACATTAATAACGGTAGTAGGCCCAAGAGAAACAACAAGCGAGAAGGGTTATTCAATAAATTCAATTTTAATAATAAAAGGGTAGACTGGGAGAAAATAAACAGGGAACTTACAAACATTCAATGGGAAAATGTTCTAAGAAATAAAAATCCTACACAAGGAATAGAAAAACTAAGCAGACACAACTCTCCATACAAAGAAGAAATAATTTAAACAGGGAGATTCAAGAAATCGAATAGAGACTGAAGCATTCCTATCAGACAGAAGAAAGGCAACTAAAACAGAAAGCAATTCAAGAAATAAAGAAACACCCAAAATATTTCTTCACATATGCTAAATCAAAACCAAAAACCACTGCCAGTATTGGACCTATTCATATTAGAGAAGGTTCATACACTGAGGATGACAAAGAAATTAGTGAAATCTTAAAAAAGCAGTATGAGGACATGTTTATCACTCCGATACACAGCATGAAAGTGGAAGATTCGGAAAATTTCTTTGAGTGATATCCAAACACCTGTAAATATAACTGATATCAACACGAGTGTAGCAGATTTTGAAAGAGAAATTGACAATATGTCCATGCACTCAGCCCCGGATCCAGACTCATGGAATTCAATATTTATAACGAAATGCAAAGTGCCAGTAGCACAGGCACTCAGTATAGTGTGGAGGAAGAGCTTGGACATGGGAGAGGTACCAGATGCGCTGAAAGCAGCAGACATAGCCCCTCTACACAAGGGAGGTAGCAAAGCATTGGCAAAGAATTATAGACCAGTTGCACTAACGTCCCACATAATAAAAGTATTTGAGAGAGTGATCAGGAGTCAGGTCACTAGATTCATGGAAACCAATGACCTCCACAATCCAGGCCATCATGGATTTAGAACAGGAAGATCATGCCTCTTACAGCTACTTGACCATTATGACAAAATCACTGAGGCATTAGAAGAAAAACAATGCAGATGTTGTATACACAGATTTTGCAAAGGCATTCGACAAATGTGACCATGGAGTGATTGCACACAAAATGAGGTAATGGGTTTAACTGGTAAAGTAGGACGCTGGATACTTAATTTCCTGTCGAACAGAACACAGAGTAACAGTCAATCAAGTAAAATCGAGTCCGAGCGCAGTTAATAGCTCTGTACCTCAAGGTACAGTCCTTGCACCACTGCTATTCCTTATTCTCATGTCAGATATAGAAAAAAATACAAGTCACGGCTTCGTGTCATCCTTTGCAGATGATACAAAAATCAGCATGAAAATTACCTCTGCTTAAGTCAGTGAAAAACTACAAACAGACCTTAAGAAATTTTTCGATTGGGCAGCAGAAAATAACATGATGTTTAACGGCGATAAATGCCAGGTACTCAGAAACGGCAAAAATGAGGATCTGAAACATAATATAGGGTACAAAACACAATCGAATCTGCCCATAGTAGGAAAACAGCATGTGAAGGATTTGGGAATAGTGATGTCCGACGACCTAACGTTTAGGGAGCATAAACAAGCAAGTATTGCGTCAGCCAGAAAAATGATAGGATGGATTACGTGAACCTTCAAGTACAGAGATCCCATCACAATGGTTGTACTCTTCAAATCACTTGTGTGGTCCAGTCTTGAGTACTGCTCAGTACTCACTTCCCCCCTTTAGACCAGGAGAGATTTCTGAAATAGAGGAAATATAGAGAACATATACGGCACGCATAGACGAGATAAAGCACCTAAATTATTGGCATTGTCTCAAAGCTCTCCAAATATACTCACTAGAAAGGAGAAGAGAGAGATACCAAATAATATACACATGGAAAATACTGGAGGGACAGGTCCCAAATCTGCACAGTAAAATAACAACGTACTGGAGTGAACAGTATGGAAGAAAATGCAGAATAGAACCAGTGAAGAGCAGAGGTGCCATAGGCACAATCAGAGAACACTGTATGAACATCAGAGGTCCACGGTTGTTCAACGTCCTCCCAGTGAGCATAAGAAATATTGTCGGAACAACCGTGGACATCTTCAAGAAAAAACTAGATATTTTTCTTCAAGGAGTGCCGGACCAACCAGGCTGTGATGGGTTTGTTGGCCTGTGGGCCGCTCCAAGGTTGACCAAATTCTCACAAAATTTGGTCAACAGCCTGGTTGACCAAATTCTCACAAATCAAGCCTGGCCTCGGGCCGGGCTTGAGGAATAGAAGAACTCCCAGAACCCCATCAAGAAGGTATCAGGTGAGTGAACACACTGCCATTGTGACAGTATTGGGCAGCACCACTCATCCTCTGAGTGAACACACCACCATAGTGACAGTATTGGGCAGCTGAGTGAACACACCGCCACAGTATTCATCCTCTGAGTGAACACACCGCATAGTGACAGTATTGGGCAGCGCTACTCATCCTGTGAGTGAACACACCGCCATAGTAACAGTATTGGGCAGCGCCACTCACTCTATGAGTGGACACACCGCCATAGTGACAGTATTGGGCAGCGCTACTCATCCTGTGAGTGAACACACCGCCATAGTAACAGTATTGGGCAGCGCCACTCATCCTGTGAGTGGACACACCATCATAGTGACAGTATTGGGCAGCGCTACTCATCCTGTGAGTGAACACACCGCCATAGTAACAGTATTGGGCAGCGCCACTCACTCATCCTGTGAGTGGACACTCCGCCATGAACACACCGTGACAGTATTGGGCAGTGCTACTCATCCTGTGAGTGGACACACTGTCATAGCAGCATGTTCAACACTCCCCAATAGGAAGGAAACCAGCTGGGTTGTTCATCCTGTCACTTGTACCCAGACACAGCTGGGACTTGCTTAACTGTCTCAAGTGAACAGCTCCTCAAACAAGAAGATTAACATCCATCAACACTAAAAAGCTTACGTTATCTTACGGGTGCAAAATGGGGGAATCTTTTAAGAACAGTATCAATATTTGACAAATAGTGTTTTCCTAACCTAATTTTCCTGAAAGATGAAAGGAGGAGAGATCTGGTGAAGCAGACTTTTAGCTGGGACCCGGGGAGGGGGGAGGGAGGAGCAGGAGGCCAAGACTGGTGTGGCCTCGGGGGGAGTGACTGGGCATTCCACGCGGCGCCTGGTCCACACTCGCCCACCCAATCGTGGGTACCCAACCCCACCCGTGGGTACACCACCAGCTGTGGGAGTGGGGCGTCTCATCTTGGGGCACCAGCTGTGGGAGCGGGGCATCTCATCTTGGGCCACCAGCTGTGGGAGTGGGGCGTCTCATCTTGGGGCACCAGCTGTGGGAGCGGGGCATCTCATCTTGGGCCACCAGCTGTGGGAGTGGGGTGTCTCATCTTGGGCCACCGGCTGTGGGAATCAAATATC